ATAATAATAACAGCATGATATACTTTTAAGAGAGAGAAAAATGTAGCTAGGTATTTCTCCAGATACATTTATAAGAAAATATTTCAAAGACCATTTGCCATAAAGAAAAAGTTGCTTAAATAAAAGTCATTCAACGGATAACACACAGTCACTTAAACATGTTTGCAATAAATTTCTGTTTCTGGATAAGCATCTCTGACCTTTTTTCTGCATGCTGTATTATTATTTCTGTTTCAAAAAAAATGAGCTTTTTGTGCCAGAATCTGTTTCACCAGGAGCGAAGTTTACACAGTAAATGTTAAATTTAGCATCTCAACACCTGTAAATAATACCCCATGACAATGAGTGAAGAAAGGAGTTTAACTTAACTCTTCAGGTAGAACTTGGGAAAATCATAAGTACTTTTGGTTAAGACTTACTTTCATCATTTTCTCCAGCCTCAGATGTCACAGTAATGGTAAAACTGGGTGGCGTTTCTGAGAGTACTGTGAAAAAATATGCACAGAGGTAAAGTCAATAAAACGCTTCCTAGGATAGATGTTTCTTCCTTATTAGCAAAAATATCACTGTACAGACTTACTCTATTTCCATGTCTGAAAATTCAGACTGAACAGAACACACACACACACACACACACACACACACACACACATATAAAATGTACATTGATGAACTATTTAAATCTGGCATTGCCCTAATTAATCTGTAGAGAAGTAGCTATAATGGATACCTCCATGGAATTTTATCAAATCAGTTAACTAAAATTAAGTGTATCCACTTCTTACTCATTGACACAGTTAATTCCTAAAATAAATAAATACATTTTAAAAAAAAATCAGCATTATGAGAAGCTAAATCACACAAAAAAATGGAAAATGGAAGACAATGACTTCATTATCTAACTTCCAAGCCAACGAAAATCATGATCCAGCCAAGTTGATACATAACCTTAAGCATCAAAGCCAGCATTACTCTTCTCTTGAACATACACAGCAGTTTCCAAAACAAAGTTATGTTATACACTTACTCCAAGAAAACACTGGAGTAAGGGAAAAAGTCATCTGAATGGATAGCAGGACCCAGAAGATTTTTAAGACTGTTAATAAATAAATTTAACATAATTTCTTCATCGGTTTTCACTTTTAGTCATTAGCATTTAAAATACAAAATAGACAGTAGCAGATTTTCTGCTATTATCATAAATTAAAAATTCTGGATATTCTATAAGTGAGGTGAGTTATAACAATAGTTTTTTTAATTTTTTTTTCTATAATTATAT